ACTTAATTTGGACAACTTTAAAGGCGATTTTCTCAATATTTAGATTTTTTTGCACCCTCAGATTCCAGATTTTCAAATAGTTGTATCTCGGCCAAATATTGTCCGATCCTAACAAACCATACATCAATGGAAAGATTATTTATTCAGCTTTCAGATAATGTATAAATCTCAATTTCACAAAATTGACCCTTATGACTGGTTTTGTGGTCCACGGTCACATATGACATTGATATATCCCTGAATTGTGCTTTAATGGAAATTATTCTATTCATTGCATTAAATGTGCACATTAGCTAAAATGTGTAAAAATAAACAATGTAATTTAAATTTGATTTAGCATTAAGTTAAATCTATAAAATAATCAGGGATTTTTTATAGCTGTTAATTAAATCAGTAGTAAGCAGTGTTATTTTAGTACAATAGATGTACTATTATAATTGTAATATTTTGAAGTAATATAATATGAATTTTTAATATTGAATTGAATTTTTAATACTGGTGTTTTTTCCTCAACATTTAAACAGGCTCGTATAACCCCACTTCTTAAGAAACCCACTCTTAACCCAACTCTTTTAGAGAACTACAGACCGGTTTCCCTTCTTCCTATGTGTGTGTGCATAATATATATATATATATATATACACCTTGCTACGTGTACTGCGTTAGGCTAACAGAGACTTGTCATTTGCACTTATATATTGTTGCTCTTTTGTTAGTTTTGACTGCTTTTATTGTCCTTATTTGTAAGTCGCTTTGGATAAAAGCATCTGCTAAATGACTAAATGTAAATGTAAATGTAATATTTTAGTAGTAATATTTTAAACTTGTTTTTATTTTTATATCTTTCATTTTAATTTTAGTTAAAGTTTTAGTAATTTTTTGTGTTTTTGTAATTTTAATTAGTTTTTATTAATGTTAGTTTCAGTTTTAGTTAGTTTAGTACATCAAGTTAAACTGAATGAAAATGAGAAGTGTTGCCTTGGCAACTAGATGAAATAAAATAATATTTAAAAGGTTTAAAAAAAATCTTATTTTATTAATTTTAAAGTTTATTTTATTTCAAGTTTTAGTTTGAATTAACTACAATAGCCCTGGTAGTAATTCATATAGTCAAGATTTAAGGGCCTGTATTGTTTTACTGTTACAGCAAATAAAATAAACATCATCTCAAAAAAACAAACAATTATCAGTACAAAACATCTCCCAGGATAAATACATGCTTCTGTTGTGTAAATAAACACCAATATCTTATTCCCTAAATCAAACCCAAAACCTTTCTCGGTCTGGCAGGTCTCCAGTATCCCACTGAAAGTACGTTTGTTCAGCGTTTGAGGGAACTGGAGAAAGCTCAGGACAGTGACGGGATCCCGCTGATACCCTCCACACCAGAAGAGATGGAGGAGATGCTCAAACTGTGTTCCTATGTGCGCTTTAAGATCCCTAAACAGGTGGGTTTATGTAGTTTGATGCTTCTTATGGGAGTTTGAATCAGTTGTTAATGACTGTTTTGTTCTTCCTCTGGTTTCCTAGATTCTTCAAGGACTGGTTGACGTTCGTATTCCTAATAATGACTTCTACCGCGAGTGTGAGTGTCTCTGGTGTTTTTCCTGCCTTGGTGTCTTTAGAAATAGCAGATCTGTGTTCAGTTTGATCAATATCTTTTGCAGGTTTCATGGAGCTTGTCGGAGAGAAATCCAGACACTCTTTACATGAGAACATGCATCTCATTTCAACTCCTCTACAAGTTATTTGGGGGAAAAACGACCAGGTACAGATACACTTTATTAGAATTGCAGAATGTGTCTCACAATTGCAAGCTATTAATTGTGAGATTATCTAGAATTCTGAGAAAAAAGTCAGATTGTGAGATTGTACATCACAATTCATACTTTTTTTCTCAGATTGTGAGTTTATATCATCGATTTTTAGATATTTTTCTGACTTTATTAATTAATTGTTATTAATTGTGAGATGTGAAAAAAAGTCTGATTGCCAGTTTATATCTCACAATTCATTTTTTTCTCAAAATTGCGAGTTTATATCTCGCAATTGCAAGTTATTAATTGTGAGAATCTCAGAATTCTGAGAAAAAAAGTCAGTATGAATTGTGAGATATAAACTCGCAATCTTTTTTTATTTCGGAATTTTCACATTTTCTGACTGCTTTTCTGACTTTTTTTCTCAAAATTGCAATTTCATTTTGCAAGTGCAAGTTATTAATTGAGAGGTTCTCAGAATTCTGAGGAAAAAAGCCAGATTGCAAATTTCTATCTCACAATTCATACTTTTTTTTCTCAAAATTGTGAGTTTATATCTTGGAATTCTGCCCTTTCCTGACTTTTTCTTGACTTTTTTTCAGCATTTTCTCAGAGTTATTAATTGCAAGAAAAAAGTCTGTTATAAATCATTCTTACCACTTTTCTTCTTTGCAAGAATGTAATCATATACACTACCGGTCAAAAGTTTGGGATCAGAACAATTATTAATGTTTTTCACAGGAGTTTCTTATGCTCATCAAGGCTGCGTTTATTTGATCAAATATACAGGAAAAAATTTTATATTGTGAAATTATATACACTACCATTCAAAAGTTTGGGGTCAGTACATTTTTATTCTCTCTTTTTTTTTTTGAAAGAAATTAAAACTTTTATTCAGTAAGGATGTGTTTAATTGATAAGAAGTGATAGCAAAGATTTATATTGTTAGAAAAGATTTATATTTTGAATAAATGCTGTTCTTTTTAACTTTCTATTCATCAAAGAATCCTGAAAAAAGTATCGCAGTTTCCCCCAAAAAAATATTTGGCAGCACAACTTTGATAATTCTGATAATAAATCAGCATATTAGAATGATTTCTGAAGGATCATGTGACACTTTATACTGGAGCAATGGCTGATGGAAATTCAGCTTTGCACCACAGAAATAAATGATATTTTAAAGGATATTAAAATAGAAACCTTTATTTTATATTGTAATAACATTTTGCAAGATTATGTTTGTTTCTGTATTTTTGATCAAATAAATGCAGCCTTGATGAGCAGAAGAGACTTCTTTAAAAAAACATTACAAGTTTTAAACTTTTGACCGGCAGTGTATGTAGAATTCAGCCATTGAAAAATGCATGTACATTTGAAACTTGACACCATTAAAGAGCAGATTCTGTGTATTGTATCCTACAGGTGTTAGACGTGTCTGGGGCTTCAGTTCTGGCCAAAGCCATCCCAGGATCTCAGGTTCATCTGCTAGACAACTGTGGTCATTCAGTAGTGATGGAGCGGCCGAGGAAATCCGCCCAGCTCATCATGGACTTTATCATCGCACAACAGAACAGCAACAAGAAACTGTCCTAAAACTGGACTTCATATATCTTTAATATGTGGCTTCATGGTTGGTTGAAGGTTAAGGATCTCGCTGCAAACCTAAAAGTTGCTGGGTTGATCTTGAGAGAAGGTGAAGCAGAGATCTGCAAGATACAGATTGATTACTCTTTGTTGTAAGTCAATGCAGTTTGTGCACAGAAAGATGCTTTGGATCAAAGACTCTTAAAAAGCAACAATATATGATTTTACTGTGGAAGCCTGTTTCCGCCTCTGAGTAAAAAATAAAAAAGGGAATTGTGACTTTTTATCTCACAATGCTGACTTTTTTTCCCTCACAATTGCGGGTTTATATTTGACAATTCTGACTTTTTTCTCGCAATTCTGTGTTTATATCTCTTAATTCTGACATCTTTTCTCAGAAATGTGAGATATAAACTCACTATTGTGCATTATAAAGTCCAATTCTGAGGAAAAAAAGACAATTTTCTTATATTTGCAAGTTTATATCTTGCAGTTCTGACTTGATTTCTCAGAATTGTAATTTTATATCTCTCAATTCTGACTTTGTTTTCAGAATTATGAATTTAAATCTCACAATTCTGACATTATTTCTCAGAGTTGTGAGTTTACATAACGCAATTATGAGAGGAAAAAAAGACAATTTTCTTATATTTGCAAGTTTATATCTTGCAGTTCTGACTTGATTTCTCAGAATTGTAATTTTATATCTCTCAATTCTGACTTTGTTTTCAGAATTATGAATTTAAATCTCACAATTCTGACATTATTCCTCAGAGTTGTGAGTTTACATAACGCAATTATGAGGAAAAAAAGTTAGAATTGTGAAATAAAAAGTCGCAATTACCTTTTTTATTTTTTATTTCGTGGTGGAATCTGGCTTCCATATTTTACAGCCTGTAAATAATCAGTAGAAGTTATTTTTGTAGTGAACGCTCAGGGACGCACACTAACCACTGAGTTGAAAAGCACTTCAGAAGCTATGCAGATACAGATCAGTGTCCTGCAGACAGTATTGGTTCCAGTTCAACATAGAATAGACCAAAAACAGTTATTTACTATTAATATATTTCTAATTTTCCTCTAATACCATTCCATGTTTGAAGAGACCTACCTAGACAGCTTTTCTGGGCATCAGGCACTTTCCTGAACTAATCGAATGCCCAGAAATGAGACACAGCCTATACGCTTATCTCTTTTGTTGTTCTTTACCTTGCCATTTTAACATGATTTAATGTTGACGGTGAAACGTGTGTCATCATCATTCGGTCGTGCATCATTTTCTTTCCTATACTACTGTTCTTACAGTTTTAACCTTGTACATAAGACTGTATGTCTTGTAAATGTATTTCTGAAATAATGCGAACAGCTATTTCATGACTTTGTTAGAATCTGGCTAATAATACTGTCTTTAAATGCATATTTAGTGAATTCTTACAGTATTTTTTGTCAGTTGAGGCTCAGTTTACATGGTCTTTAAACACAGGAGACGTAGTGAAGTTTTCATTTTATTTTCATGACTAATATGAACATTTATCAGTGATAATGTATCACAACATTTCGTTGGAAAGATTCTCCAAATCACACAGGAACTTATAACAGAACATGGTTCAGATATGACTAAATATCTTTATAAGAGTCATTTAAGTACATTTGCATCATATTACGGCTTGTCGCTTCATGGAAGACAAAATCACAAAGTACTTAATAGTATACATATTTTTCCAAGCTGAAAATGTTTATTGTACCTTTGTAATCTAAAAAGAAAATAAAAAAATTTTAACTTTAAAAGTTTGATTTTTAAAAAAAAAATTCCTTCACAGAAGCAGTTTAAATTGTTTCGTTGCTTTTACCAAAGAAAATTCAGATTAAATCTTAATGATAAAAAGTTGCATTAATCTAATAATTATTATTACTGAATCATGAGTCCATGACTTTGATAAATTCTTCACTGAAGACAAAAGAGAACAAGTAATCCCAAAAATGGAATTCTAATGTTTCTGGTCAAATCTATAAGTTGTTGTTACAAAGATACACAATATGTGATCTTAGATAAATATATATTTTTTAGCCCTGATATAGGACAATAATACAGTTTTAAAAATGGCATGAAAATCTAAAAGTCTAATACAGACGTTAGTAAATGTTCCCATCTGGAACTCTTGACATGAAATCTTCATAGAAGATCGAATCATCAGAGCACTTAGCAGTGCAAATATCTCTTCCAAACTGGAACTCATGAAACACTTTTTCTCAAAAATGGAAACTAAAAGCATAATAGATCTAGTGTAGACGTTCAGTCTGAGTCTTTAAGGCTCTACCAAGGCCTCCAGATGGCGCTCTTGTTGACATTCATGTCTTTGCTGAAGGTCTTCTGGTCTGGCAGGACACTTTCCCTCCTGTTCTGCTGCAGCTTCTGGAAGTGCTTCGTCTTCTCTGGCTCTGTGTCTTCATCTCATCTTTGGACAGGAAGTGCACAATCTCACGACACACAATTGTGGCGTTACAGGAAGTTGAGCGTCATCTCCAGGATATCTGCTTCCTCCAGCTTGGAATCAGGCGGCTGCTTGAGGAACTCTGGAGCCAGAAGACACTTGAGCTGCTCGATGCTGCTGTTGATACGATCTCTGCACATCTTCTCCACCATCGGCTTTCTCAGCTGCAAATGAAGACAGAAAAGCATCAGGAAAGTGGCCTTCGAATAAACCAGTGATTGAGAAGAGCCGTGAAAGCTGCTGCAGTAATGCTGCTGTAAGTAGGATGTGAATGTACCTTGTTGTTGAGAGGGAGAAGCTCCTTTGAGATGATTGTAGGTGTCATGTCTGGATCTCTGTGCTGTAGATCTCTCTGTTCAGAGTGAGTCTGATTTGCACTGGCTGCAGCTCCTCTATTTATACTCCCAAATCTCCATATGAATGTGTGAGGCTTGAGCTTGTTGGAGTTTCTCACAGTTTGGAGCCAATGGAAGAGCTCAAACAGACAATGAGGGATGTGGGCCGCCACATGCTCAATGATCCTCCATCAGGGGCTCAAAGGAGCAGGTGGAGGGGGACTCTGGGAAAGTGCTGAGAGCTCATCTTCACATCAATGTCACTGAAGCAGTAATATGCATTCCTAAGAACTTCATTTGGACAACTTTAAAGGTGATTTTCGCAACAACAAAAAAAATCTGCACGTGCAGATTATGTATAAATCTCAATTTCAAAAAATTTACCCTTATGACTGTTTTTGTGCTCTAGGCCACATATAAAAAATCTGACACAATCCACAAAAGACGCATTTCCAACCGAAAGGGCTGAGACTATAGAATATCCCCAGTGCATAAACAACTCACATACCCACACACGCAAACAAACGGTACATACACTCAAACAGATTATAACATGAATGATGTTATTGCTAGGAAATCACTGTCATTTTGACTTTTTTGACTTAAGTTAAATTTGAGTGCTGTGGTGGAGACCAATGACTTTATAGCATATTTATAGCTTTAAATATATATTTTATATTACATATTTATTAAATTGTATGAATATACATGTTGATTAAAATTCAGTTTGAAAAGTTAAAAATAATTTTTTGCAAAATATATTTATATATATTAAATATATAAAATATATATTTTTTAGCCCTGATACAGGACAATAATACAGTTTTAAAAATGGCATGAAATCTAATACAGTGGAACTCATGAAACACTTTTTCTCAAAAATGGAAACTAAAAGCATAATAGATCTAGTGTAGACGTTCAGTCTGAGTCTTTAAGGCTCTACCAAGGCCTCCAGATGGCGCTCTTGTTGACATTCATGTCTTTGCTGAAGGTCTTCTGGTCTGGCAGGACACTTTCCCTCCTGTTCTGCTGCAGCTTCTGGAAGTGCTTCGTCTTCTCTGGCTCTGTGTCTTCATCTCATCTTTGGACAGGAAGTGCACAATCTCACGACACACAATTGTGGCGTTACAGGAAGTTGAGCGTCATCTCCAGGATATCTGCTTCCTCCAGCTTGGAATCAGGCGGCTGCTTGAGGAACTCTGGAGCCAGAAGACACTTGAGCTGCTCGATGCTGCTGTTGATACGATCTCTGCACATCTTCTCCACCATCGGCTTTCTCAGCTGCAAATGAAGACAGAAAAGCATCAGGAAAGTGGCCTTCGAATAAACCAGTGATTGAGAAGAGCCGTGAAAGCTGCTGCAGTAATGCTGCTGTAAGTAGGATGTGAATGTACCTTGTTGTTGAGAGGGAGAAGCTCCTTTGAGATGATTGTAGGTGTCATGTCTGGATCTCTGTGCTGTAGATCTCTCTGTTCAGAGTGAGTCTGATTTGCACTGGCTGCAGCTCCTCTATTTATACTCCCAAATCTCCATATGAATGTGTGAGGCTTGAGCTTGTTGGAGTTTCTCACAGTTTGGAGCCAATGGAAGAGCTCAAACAGACAATGAGGGATGTGGGCCGCCACATGCTCAATGATCCTCCATCAGGGGCTCAAAGGAGCAGGTGGAGGGGGACTCTGGGAAAGTGCTGAGAGCTCATCTTCACATCAATGTCACTGAAGCAGCACACGCTCGTCATTACTAGAAACACGTGGAGTCAGTGAGCACATATGATGATATCAAAGTCATGGCATTCTTAGACATGTGATCTGAATTACTGTGTACTTTATACAAAAAGTGTTTTCATTTGCATTCCATAGTGTAATATCAAGCTAAAATATTATAATATATTCTGTTTATAAAACTATATAAAATAATCTTCTATGCCAAGTCAAGTTGTTACAGTACTATTGGATACATATTACTTCTCACAGAAGTAAGTGCAGATATTTAGTGTCATAATTCACAATATTCTGGATTATCATTGCTGCAGTGACGTCACACACACATGATGGACTCCAGATGAAGCAGATGTGTGTGTGTTTGTGCTGGTCAGTGTGAGTTGATCTCATGTGAGGTTCCCACACTGACTCTCTGTGTTCACATCAATGGAGCACAAAAGCATCCAGAGTCCTGAATGAAGCATTAGTGACACTGAAGACTTCAACCTGACGTCACCAACCATCTGGAGGGAAACCTCCTGATGCACAGCAACTCCTGTTCTTCCTGTTCTGCTGCAGCTTCTGGAAGTGCTTCGTCTTCTCTGGCTCTGTGTCTTCATCTCCAGGAAGTGCAGGAAGTGCACAATCTCACCGACACACAATTGTGGCGTAACAGGAAGTTGAGCTTCATCTCCAGGATATCTGCTTCCTCCAGCTTGGAATCAGGCTGCTGCTTGAGGAACTCTGGAGCCAGAAGACACTTGAGCT